CCTGGGCAGTGCTGGGGAAGGGTTGGACTCAAAGCCCTTCAAGATCTGCTCCAACAGTTCTGTAATTCCGTCCTGATGAAGCACTCACAGAAAAGCAGGGGGTGTTTCCCAGTTTGGCTGTTTCTTTCCTCATCCCCTGCAATCCAAACTCTTTCAGGATGGTCCCATCTCATTTTGGGACCAATTTCCCTGGTGTTCCCTGTCCTGGTGCCACTGCTGGTGCTCCAGGGACCCCGTTTGTCMCCTCACTGCTGCTTTGGGCTGCTTCCCCTCCACAATTCCAGTTTATCTCCACTTTTGGAGGGATTTCTGGCTCAGGGAGCTGTAGGGTGGAGCCCAGCCCTGCCTGGTGCCGTGGCTGGGCTGAGCTTTGCTTTGCACCGGSTGTTTTGGGGTATTTTGGGTGCTTTGTTTCTGTCTCTCCCCAGCCGGAGCTCTCACCGCCCACGGCTGTTCCTGAAGCAAATGTTTCAGAAAGTGTTCTGCACTCTCGGGGAGGGCTCTGCCTGTGCTATTTTTGCTCAGGATGCTGCAGAGCTGTGCTCAGGCTCAGAGCTGGCTCTGCCAGGACAGGGCTGGGCTCAGTGGGGCTCTTGGGGCTGCTGTGGATCCCAGCCAGACCCTGGAGATCTGTCCAACCTCACCAGCTCTGTGATTCTGATTTATCTGTGCATTTTGGGGATCTGTGCTGGGGGAGATCAGGCAGAACATTCTGCCCCTGGGGTATCCATCCCCTGGCTCAGCAGGTGCAGCCGGGATCGGGATATTAATCCCACAGATCCCCAGGATCCCACAGATCCTACAATATCCCACAGATCCCACAGATCCCACAATATCCCATAGATCCCCAGGATCCCACAGATCCCACAGGATCCCACAGATCCCACAATATCCCACAATATCCCACAATTTCCCACAGATTCCACAGATCCCACAGATCCCCAGGATCCCACAGATCCCACAATATCCCACAATATCCCACAATATCCCACAGATCCCACAGATCCCACAATATCCCACAGATCCCCAGGATCCCACAGATCCCCAGTCACAGCCCTTTCCCCTCCATCCAGGTGGCTGAAGTTGGAGTCTCTCCTTCCCCTTTCCCCTTTCCCCTTTCCCCTTTCCCCTTTCCCCTTTCCCCTTTCCCCTTTCCCCTTTCCCTTCCTCTTCCCCTTCCCCGTTCCCTTTCCCTGTTGTTAGAAGGCAAATTCCCACATTTAAAGCGTAAATGAGGCTGTTCAGCCGAGCAGCTGCTTCTTTGGGGTCTTTGCAGGAAAACAGGGAATGATTTATCAATTTGGGGGGTTGGTCCTTGATTCCCTGCAGTCCCCTCTCCTTTCCAAAGGGTGACATTACATTTTTGGGTGGATCTCAGAGCCTTTCTGAGCAGGGTTTTTCCCTTTGCAGGGCTCTGCTCCACACAGAGCACTCCTGGCATGGAGCTGTAACAGCAAAAGTCCTTTGAATGTTTGAAGCAGAATTTCTATTTTTTTTTTTTTTTTTTTTTTTTTTTTTTTTTTTTTTTTTTTTCCTACATGGCTGCACTGTGAGGCCCCGATTTTAGCACCTTTTGTAGCAGGGATTTGAGGAAACCAAAAACTCCCAACGCCTTTTCCAGCCAAGCCCTGGACAGAGCAGTTCCCACCACACCATTCGTGGTCCCTCAGCACATCCTCATTTTCTTCCTTTTCTGTCTCACAAACAGRGCTTTTCTACATCTTTCAAAATGATCTGATGCCATTCTCAGAATTTAATTTAGTGTTCCCAAGGAGAGTCTTAATTTTTTGTGTATTACTGGAGTTTAACTGCCATAATAAAGGACGATTTTGAGGTGATAAAACACAGCAGGAATGTCATTAAATATGCAGCAAAGGTCTGACACAATGGAATTAAGCATTAATGAATAACATACTAGAAATATTAGTCTTCCATATTAGTTTAGGTGTTCTGTTGTTGGGTTATGATGAGGGCTAATGGGAAAAAATGAAACAATAAACAAGGTTAGTGCAAATAAAATTTACGAGTGATTCAGTAGCTTCTTCATGTGTAGAAAGTTTCCAAGTTAAAGCTGTTGGGTATCCACAGGGATCCTTTTCCTTGGATAAATGGTTGTCATTCCATGTTTTAATGTAATTTTATTATTGGTGCACTTTTCATTTTTTCAATTGAATTATCATACTATGGAGGTGCAATTTAAATTCCAGCCCATCTGCAGATCAGGGCAGTTGTAAACTTCATTTACTGCCACAAGCAAGGACTTTGTAGCTCTTGCCAAGCAGGAGAGAGAGGGTTCCTAGGGAGTAGGATATTAATTGTTCCTAGCRAAAAAACAACCTCCAATCCTCATTAGGACTTTGATTTAGGACACGGGGCCCCAGCTGGCATTTCTGGAGCTCTCTAAAAGCTATTTTTTTAACTTGAAGTTCCTTTTCTTTGAGGATTCTGCATAATCTGTGCTGATTTAGCCTCTCCATGTATTTTTTTTTTCCCTTGCATGCCCAGGGTGTTCCATTTCCCAGACCTGTGGGTGTAGCACAGCAGAATGAAATCCTGAATTTTTGAATATCCCCTTTGTAATGGGGGGATCCTGTTTGTGGGATCATTGTGGGGCCAAGCMCTCCCTGAGAGCTGCTCCCTCTTCCTGCGGGGTCAGAGCGCTCCTGCATTCCAAAACTTCTTATTTTTATTGTTCACATCACAGTCTATGCACCATCTGTGCTTAACTTGGGCTCTTCTCACCCTTCCCAACAAACCATGGTTAAAATCTTCATTTTGGGGTGTTTTCCATGCTGTGGGCAGTGAGGAATTGCTGCCAGTGGAGGAGCAGCCAAGCTGAGCCAAAGGCTTTGTCTGCTGTTCCCATAAGTCTGATAAACATCCAGGAGGCAGCTCTTGGCAGCTGCTAATTTTAAAGCTACGTATTAATCAAATTAATTGAGAGTTCCTTTTAATAATCATCAGCACCAGCATAACTTTGTGATGTGATGTTTGCAGYGGTGCCAAAAGTGATTCCCCCCAAAAGAGGCTGAAAAAGTGTTAAATTGTCTCTTTTGCTACCTGATAATCCACTTAAGTGGTGATAAGGAAAAAACAGCTCCTGGAGCATTTCAGGGGAGCAGAATAACAGAGTGTTGTGGCAGAATGCAAAGGCTCCATCATCACAGGGCCCCATCATCCCCAGCTCTGAGCTGTGCCCCAAATCCAAGAGCCCCATTTCCCATTTCCCATTTCCCATTCCCCATTTCCCATTCCCCATTTCCCATTCCCCATTTCCCATTTCCCATTTCCCAGCAGGAATTTGGTTTTCCCAGCAGTTCCAGGGCTCTCTCCAGGTGCTGCTCTGCCCTGGGATGGGGAAGGTTCTCTGGAGGTTGAGCCTCCTCTTTCAGGATCTCCACCCACCAGCACCTTCTGCAGCGTTTCATTTAGCAGGACGTTGAAATCTGGGTTTTAAAGCCTATCTGTGATCACTCCCTTGTCCTGCTGCCTTTTAATTAACTCATCCCCACTGCTGGGTTTTATTAAGCAGCTCTGATACGTTATTAATTAACACACTGTGCACTATGGCGAGGAGGTTGGTATCAAACACGCCGTAAAAGATGAAAGTGTTTACTACTGAGAAACAAAAATAATTAAGGCAAAAGTTGTGTTTTCATCTGCCAGGGACAACCAGAACATCAGCGGAGATGGGATTTTTTGAATTGTATTTTTCCTACAAACGGAACCACCGTGATATGGGAACTGTGCTAAGATCAGTGTTCTCCCCGGTGTTTTTTGCTCCTCCTCTGAAGGTGTTTCTGTCCTTTCTCTGCCTGGCACAGGTGGGCTCTGCATTGCTCAGTCCCTCAAGATCCCCCAGGAGCGCAAGGACAAGAACATTGACTTTGATAAGATCATCAGGCAGCTGCTGGAGACGCCCAACGCCAGGGCCGTGGTCATCTTTGCCAACGATGAGGACATCAGGTGAGGGGAACACAGAGAACTTGGAGAGAGGGAGGGGAGGGTCTGTGGGGTACCCACATAGGGATGGGGATGTGGGGGAAGCACAGGAACGGGGCTGCTGCTGCCCTGACCCATGGTGAGGACAGAAATGGGACCGGGATTTGGGAGAGCTGACCCTTCCTCTCAAAGGAATTAAGAACACACCCCCCTCTCCAGGCTCATTCCTTTGTGTAATTCATTAATTCAGAGTCTATTTTATGGTAAATGGAAGTTAATAATGATGAACTGATGTGGATGCTCAAGGTTAAACCACGTGGAACTGGATCGTAAAATAACACAAAAATGTTTTATGTTTAATCACTCGCTTGCGTATTCTGGGTCCAGAATTTGAAATTCGCTTAAAATTGTGATGGAATCGTCTGTTGCTGAGAGGCTCAGTCCCACAAAATGAGACAAAAAGAATTTAGGGAAAAGTTTCAATAAAGCCAATGGAAAAAGTTTTGGTGGGATCAATAACTGAGCCGTGGGGTATGGGGTGAATTCAAAGGGAAGCCCCACTGGTGCTGCATGGATCATGGAATGGTTTGTGTTGGGAAGGACCCTTAAAAACCATCCAGTTCCACCCCTGAACCCTTAAAAACCATCCAGTTCCACCCCTTACCATGGGCAGGGACACCTTCCCTGGTGATCCCGAGTGTCCCAAGGCCTGAGCTTTGCTGGGCTCAGCATTGCTGATCCTGCTCCTCCCAGAGTCACTCAGGCTGGATCACCCCGAGCTGACCCAGTCCCACCATGCTGCCATTGCCACACAGCTTTTCTTTTGCACGTTTGAGTGAAACCACGTCACAAACAGAGTGTTCTCTCCACAGACAGGTCCTGGCAGCTGCCAAGAGGGCGGATCAGGTGGGACATTTCCTSTGGGTGGGCTCCGACACGTGGGGCTCCAAAGTGACCCCGCTGCTGCAGCAGGAGGACGTGGCCGAGGGAGCCATCACCATCCTGCCCAAGAGAGCCACCATCGAGGGTAAGGGATTGTGCTGCTGCTTTTGCTGCTCCTCTTTGTCCTCCTGAGGGTTTGGGGTGAACGTGTGGGTCATGTGTGATCCAGGCAGTGGCAGTGCATGCAGACAGTCTTAATCTGCTGATTTTCCCCGAATGTCTG